AGACAGCAATCTACATAGACTTTGGTATGTTTTACAGCAATCTACATAGACTTTGGTCTGTTGTACAGCAATCTACATAGACTGTGGTATGTTTGACAGCAATCTACATAGACTTTGGTCGGTTGGACAGCAATCTACATAGACTTTGGTCTGTTAGACAGCAGTCTACATAGACTTTGGTCTGTTGGACAGCGGTCTACATAGACTTTGGTCTGTTGGACAGCAATATACAGACTTTGGTCTGTTGGACAGCAGTCTACATATACTTTGGTCTGTTGAACAGCAGTCTACATAGACTTTGGTCTGTTGGACAGCAGTCTACATATACTTTGGTCTGTTGAACAGCAGTCTACATAGACTTTGTTCTGTTGGACAGCAATATACAGACTTTGGTCTGTTGGACAGCAGTCTACATAGACTTTGGTCTGTTGAAAAACAGTCTAAATAGACTTTGGTCTGTTGGACAGCAATCTGCATAGACTTTGGTTTGTTGGACAGCAATCTACATAGACTTTGGTTTGTTGGACAGCAGTCTACATAGACTTCGGTCTGTTGGACAACAGTCTACATAGACTTTGGTCTTTTGGACAGCAATCTGCATAGACTTTGTTCTGTTGGACAGCAATCTACNTCTACATAGACCTTGGTCTGTTGGACAGCAGTCTACATAGACTTTGGTCTGTTGGACAGCAATCTACATATGTTGGACAACAATCTGCATAGACTTTGGTCTGTTGGACAGCAATCTACATAGACTGTGGTCTGTTGAACAGCAATCTACATTGAATTTGGTATGTTGGACTTTGGTCTGTTGAACAGCAATCTACACATGGTCTGTTGGACAACAGACCAAAGTCTCTGTGGATTGTTCAAACAGATTAAAATGTGTGTAGGTTGCTGTCAAACAGAACAAAGTCTATGTGGACTGTGTCCAACCGACCAAAGTCTATGTGCACTGTTGTCCAACATACCAAAGGCTATGTAGACTGTGGTCCAAAAGACCAAATTCTATGTGGACTGTTATCCAACAGACCCAAGTCTATGTGGATTGTACAAACAGATTAAAATTTGTGTAGGTTGCTGTACAGCAGACCAAAGTGTATGTAGACTGTTGTCCAAAAGAGCAAAGTCTATGTAGATCGCTGTCCAACAGACCTGTGTAGGTTGCTGTACAGCAGACCAAAGTGTATGTAGACTGTTGTCCAACGGACCAAAGGCTATGTAGACCGTTGTCCAACAGACCAACGTCTATGTGGATTGTCCAAACAGATTAAAGTCTGTGTAGGTTGCTATCCAACAGACCAAAGCCTATGTAGACTGTTGACAAACAGACCAAAGACTTTGGTATGTTTGACAACAGTCCACATGGATTTTGGTCTGTTGGGCAGCAATCTACATAGAATTTGGTATGTTGCACAGCAGTCTACATAGACGTTGGTCTGTTGGACATCATTCTACATAGTCTTTGGTATGTTGGACTTTGGTCTGTTGTACAGCAATCTACATATGTTCGACAACAATCTGCATAGTCTTTGGTTTTTTGGACACCAATCTACATAGACTGTGGTCTGTTGAACAGCAATCTACATTGAATTTGGTATGTTGGACAACAGTGCACATAGACTTTGGTCAGTGGGACAGCAATCTACATTGACTTTGGTATGTTGTACAGCAATCTACATAGTCTTTGGTATGTTGGACTTTGGTCTGTTGAAAAACAGTCCAACAGACCAAAGCCTATGTAGACTGTTGTCCAATAGAACAAAGTCTATGTGAATTGTTGTCCAACAGACAAAGGTCTATGTGGATTGTCCAAACAGATAAAAATCTGTAGATTGCTGTCCCACAGACCAAAGTCTAGGTGGACTGTTGTCCAGCAGATCAAAGTCTATGTGGACTGTTATCCAACAGACCCAAGTCTATGTAGATTGGTGTCCAAAAAACCAAAGACTATGTAGACTGCTGCCCAACAGACCAAGACGGTTGTCCAACAGACCACAGTCTATGTGGATTGTCCAAACAGATTAAAGTCTGTGTAGATTGCTGTCCAACATACCTATGCAGATTGTTGTCCAACAGACAAAGGTCTATGTGGATTGTCCGAACAGATTAAAATCTGTGTAAGTTGCTGTCCAACAGACAAAGGTCTATGTGGATTGTACAAACAGATTAAAATATGTGTAGGTTGCTGTACAGCAGACCAAAGTGTATGTAGACTGTTGTCCAACACACCAAAGTCTATGTATACTGTTGTCCAAAAGACCAAATTCTATGTAGACTGCTGTCAAACAAACCAAAGTCTATGTGAATTGTTGTCCAACAGACAAAGTCTATGTAGAGTGTTGTCCAACAGACAAAGGTCTATGTGGATTGTCCGAACAGATTAAAATCTGGGTAGTGTGCTGGGAAGCAGACAAAAGTCTATGTAGATGGCTGTCCAACAGACCGAAGTCTATTTAGACTGATGTCCAACAAACCAAAGTCTGTATATTGCTGTCCATCAGACCGAAGTCTATTTAGACTGATGTCCAACAAACCAAAGTCTGTGTAGACTGCTGTCCATCAGACCAAAGCCTATGTAGACTGTTGACAAACAGACCAAAGACTATGTGGATTGATGATCAACAAACCAAAGTCTGTATATTGCTGTCCAACAGACTTTGGTCTGTTCTACAACAGTCTTGGTCTGTTGGACAGTAGTCTACATAGACTTCGTTCTGATGGACAGCAATATACATAGACTTTGGTGTGTTGGACAGCAATCGACATAAACTTTGGTCTGTTGGGCAGCAATCTACATAGATTTTGTTCTGTTGGACAACAGCCCACATAGACTTTGGGCTGTTGGACAGCAATATACAGACTTTGGTTTGTTGATCATCAATCCACATAGTCTTTGGTCTGTTGCACAGCAATCTACATACGCTTGGGTCTGTTGGACAGCGATCTACATAGACTTTTGTATGTTGTACAGCAATCTACATATGTTGGACAACAATCTGCATAGGTATGTTGGACAGCGGTCTACATAGACTTTCGTCTGTTGGACAACAGACCAAAGTCCAACATACCAAAGGCTATGTAGACTGTGGTCCAAAAGACCAAATTCTATGTAGACTGTTGTCCAACACACCAAAGTCTATGTACATTGCTGTCCAACAGCCCAAAGTCTATGTGGGCTGTTGTCCAACAGACAAAGGTCTATGTGGATTGTTCAAACAGACCAAAGTCTCTGTGGATTGTTCAAACGGATTAAAATCTGTGTAGGCTGCTGTCCAACAGACGAAAGTCTATGTAGACGGCTGTCCAACAGACCTGTGTAGGTTGCTGTCAAACAGAACAAAGTCTATGCAGATTGCTGTCCGAAAGACCAAAGTCTATGCGGACTGTTGTCCAACAGCCCGAAGTCTATGTAGGCTGCTGTCCAACAGAGCAAAGTCTATGTAGAGTGTTGTCCAACAGACCACAGTCTATGTGGATTGTCCAAACAGATTAAAATGTGTGTAGGTTGCTGTACAGCAGACCAAAGTGTATGTGGACTGTTGTTCAACAGACCAAAGTCTGTGTAGACTGCTGTCCACCAGACCAAAGTCTACGTAGATTGCTGTCCACTATGTGGATTGTTCAAACAGATCAAAATCTGTGTAGGTTGCTATCCAACAGACCAAAGCCTATGTAGACTGTTGTCCAACGGACCAAAGGCTATGTGGATTGCCCAAACAGAATAAAATCTGTGTAGACTGCTGTCCAGCAGACCAAAGTCTATTTAGATTGCTGTCAAACATAAACAGATTAAAATCTGTGAAGATTGCTGTCCACATAGACTTTGGTCTGTTGGACAACAGTCCACATAGATTTTGGTCTGTTGGACAGCAATCTACGTAGACTTTGGTCTGTTGGACAGCAGTCTACATAGACTTTGGTATGTTGGACAGCAATCTACACAGATTTTATTCTGTTTGGGCAATCCACATAGACTTTGGTCCGTTGGACAGCAATCTACACAGATTTTAATCTGTTTGGACAATCCACATAGACTTTGGTCTGTTGGACAACAGTCCACATAGACTTTGGTCTGTTGGACAACAGTCCACATAGAATTTGGTCTGTTGGACACAGTCCACATAGACTTTGTTCTGTTGGACAACGGTCCACATAGACTTTGGTCTGTTGGACAGCAATCTACATAGACTTTGGTCTGTTGGACAGCAATCTACAGATTTTAATCTGTTTGGACAATCCACATAGACTTTGGTCTGTTGGACAACAGTCCACATAGACTTTGGTCTGTTGGACACAGTCCACATAGACTTTGTTCTGTTGGACAACGGTCCACATAGACTTTGGTCTGTTGGACAGCAGTCTACATAGACTTTGGTCTGTTGGACAGCAGTCTACATGGACTTTGGTCTGTTGGACAGAAATCTACAGATTTTAATCTGTTTGGCCAATCCACATAGGCTTTGGTCTGTTGGACACAGTCCACATAGACTTTGTCCTGTTGGACAACAGTCCACATAGGCTTTGGTCTGTTGGACACAGTCCACATAGGTCTGTTGGACAGCAATCTACAGATTTTAATCTGTTTGGCCAATCTACATTGACTTTGGTATGTTGGACAGCAATCTACACAGATTTTAATCTGTTTGGACAATCAACATAGAATTTGGTCTGTTGGACACAGTCCACATAGGTCTGTTGGACAGCAATCTACAGATTTTAATCTGTTTGGACAATCTACATTGACTTTGGGTGTTTTTCTGTTTGGACAATCTACATTGACTTTGGTCAGTTAATGATCCACATAGACTGGTCAGGTGGATTGTGATCCACATAGAGTTACAGGCTCATAAGAGGCAACATTAGTCTGTTCAAGAAATGCCATTTGATTTGATTAAACAGATTTTTTTTAATATAAAAATATTATGAAATTAATGTACTCATATTACTATCACAAATAAATATCAATTCAAATCGTTTATTTATATACTGAACAGTTTTTTTCAACATTCATACAGATGTAGCCATTTGGTGTTTATATGGGAATGATTGTTAAAGTAACCTCTGTTCAATCCCTAGATGTATATTAATCGTTCGCATTGGTAGCCTGAATATACATACATTTATATGTATACGTACCAGGCCATCGGTATGAAGATCTAAGATGGACTTGCAAAGCACTTTATACTTTCTTTGTTAAACACTAACTCCAATTTATTATTGCAGTAGGAGAAACATTTATTTGTAGAAACAACCATTAATAAACAGAGAGACAAATATTGTGGTATGTGTATGGAAAGGAAAATACATAGAAGTAAGAGCACCTGAGGAACATGTCAACCTTCATAGTAGACATGCATACCCCCTTCATATCTCTATTAGAACTGGACAGAAAACAAGTGATAGGTCAAAGAATCACAAGCTTAAACTGAAAGACCTCATCAACAGGTAACAGGTATATATCATACACACTGAATGGGGATTTTTTTTAAGGGGTTCTGATTTTTGTCATAACAATTTTCCCATGAAAATATAAAACAAGGACAAGGAGTTTTTAGAACCACTATTCAATCTGTATATTTTACTAGTCTCAGACTATCGGGTTACCCTTATTGTCTAGACCTGTTATATCACCCCTGATAAAGACACTATTCAACAAGTCTAATAAAACAACCCTTTTATAACAAAACTTGTCAAAGAAAATATATCAACCCCTTTATTATGACACTTTTAGTGCTAGATCAGTTTGGTTGGATAGCTAAACATATCTTAGCATAACCCATAATATTTAATATCAAACTGTAATTATTTCTATTGTGTCAATATTTTTATGCAAATTATACTGTATGCAGTAACATTGCAGAAACAAGATATTTCAGTCACACGATGAAAGTAATGTAGAAATAACCATGTCAGCTTCTACTTATTATGTTTCGTCGTAATGGCACAAAAGTCCACATCTCTGGCCAATTTGACTTGAAGTTGGTACTGTGACTTAAACTAGCTGAGATCCCAAAAACATATTTTTCATTGCTTTGCACAGAAATGCTGAGCACTTAAGGTGTTAATTGGATGTGACAGACAGTACATAGCCACACACACCCTGTTTTCTATCAAATCAGCTGGAAAAAGACCATAAAAAAGTGAGAACATAATTAACCATACTGAAAAAAAACTAAAAAAACTGAGCTGATCACTTGTCAAACTTTTTCATGACCTTGCTGGTATTTTCGCGACAGTTCGGACAGTACCACTTGCCCTTGGGTTTGTTGACAAGATTGACACAGTTAAAATGGAACCACTCGATGACACATGCATCATTGTCACAACCGATCATCTCTCCATATGACACCTGATCACACAGACAATATGTTGGCTCATCTGGATCAATCGGAGGCTCAATGGGTGATGTTGGGGCCTGATCTTTCTCTTTCTTTGTCTTGCGTTTCTTCTTTTTCTTAGGCACTTTCTCCTTTTCTTCTTGCTATAAGATAAATTTAACATTGTTAACATAAAACTCTAAAAATAAGGTGACAATTTTCAAAATTCACAGAAGAGAGCCATTATCCAACTTAATCAATATGGTTCTGATGATGCCTAACCCAGAAAGTCGAAACATGTAAATCGTAAATTTATAAACTACAGAATCATGTTGATGCTCCATCTTTTCTATTTTTTATATCAATGTGAGTTAGTACCTTCTTTTCCTCTTCTTTAATGACAGTGTCATTTGTTTTCTGTCGTCGCTGTCGTTTCACCGCTACTTTTTCAGGTTTTGGATCTGTGTGTTGGATAATGGGTTTAGATGATGTTGTTGTCGTTGCGTTGGATGATGTTGTTGTTGTTGTTGCTGACATTGTTACCTTTTCTTCTTTTTCTGTTTCTTTCCCAAACATAGGATCTGACAAAAGTATGATCAAGTTACATTATTGTTCATCTTAAAGTGTAACAAAGCTCAAATACCGAACTTGCACACCTGGATCTAACAAAGCAACAAAATATTACAAAGGTTATTAGTTATACTGTGAAATGTACCAAGTACCCATCGGGCCTGTAGAGATCATTTGCTTCTTTTGTTATTAGTACTCGACAGAAAGACTTAAGATGAAATGTTTCTGCTTGCTTAAGACCTTGGTTGTCATCTCAGATATTTCAATGACCATAGTGATTGAAATAGCAGTACTTGGTGAAGGCAGTGGTAGAAGATGGGAGCAATTGAATGACATTTGTTTAAAACTGGTCTAGTGGAAAAAAGATTTAGTCAAAATGACTAAGCCAGTCATAGGACAGGATACAAATGTTTATATGTAACTATTTCTTTCTCATTTTTGAAACAATCCAGAAAATAAACCATCATGATATCAATTGTATCAATTTTGTTTAAAAAACATATTTGACTTCTCAGATTTTATAGGCAAATGGCCTATAAAATGTTTTTGCCCTTATCCCCTACTCCCATGCCAAGGTGCTCCATGCCAAGTTAGTTGAAACTTAATATGATACCTCTCTAGTATGGGCATACAATTAATGTATTATTGTACTAGAGAGGTATCATATTAAGTTTCAACTAAGAACTAATTAGTGTCAATAGATGAGATTTAGTGTCAGTGAATTTAGCCCTAACCTACTGAAATGTCTCAAGCAGTGAGAAACTAGCCTTGAGCAATCCTTTAATGCAATTACGTAACAGCTGTAAGAAAGAAATACCTAAATTTTCTCTGTCTTGCTCTAGTTGTCTCCCCCTGTTATCGATATGTTCTATAATCATGGCCATCAAGTGAAGCTTTTCATCCCCAATCTCCTGACACTTGATGAGTGCCCTCTGTATGGCCAGGAGAGCTTTCTTCTTAGTTGGCCCCTCTGGTTCCTTACCATACACTTCCTGGTGGTTGTCAATGTCCTGGAGAATATCTGAAATATTAAAAGTTGCACAAGTAGGATTTTATCATAAAATGAAAATTAATCACTAAAAGAAAGTGTGACAGATTTGAACTGTAAACAGAAATATGGTCACCTTTTAGCTTCAAGCTAGAGAGAATTTCCCTTTAGCTCAACCAGCAGAGCAGTGCACTGGGAAGCTGAGGGAAGTGAGTTTGATCCCAAGTTGAAGCACATGTTCACTAGGCACTCTCTTTCCTGTTACAATACTGAATAGTAATATAAATTACTTTTTATAATCTTTGATAGTCTGCTACCGTCACAAGTGCATGATTGAGTGGGCTATAAAAGGAGAGCTGTCACTGTTGAACAGGCTATTAACTATCCATCCCATATAATAGCTCCATTTTCCCTCACTGTAAGCTCATAGCCCGTAATCAGAAATAACCTCAAAACGATTGGAAACTCATGCTATCATAAATTGAACATTTCAGTCTCTAAAAGAAATATGAATTATTAATGTTCTAACACAGAGTTTTCTTCTTCTGCTATTTTAGTCTTCGACCCCAAAGACCCTATACCACCTCCTGTGGGTATACTTTGTTGGGCGCCATCTCCATTTCAAGTAAGTCATACCGCGCTAAAAGAAATGTATGCCTCCAAGACCACCTGGACTTCCAAAATGACCTCAAGTCCTTGGAAGAATGGGTAACGAAATGGGGTATATCTTTTCAACGCGTCGAAATGTTATATCCTGAGAACATCAAGATCCAAGTCGCCTAGTGCCTACAACTACCAACTGTTGGGCCAAATTACTCAAAGTAGAAGAAAATCCATACTTGGGCGTAACCATTCACAACTCCATGAAGTGGGACTCCCATATCCGTAACACAACCAACAAGGCAAATTCCACTCTCGGATTCCTAAGACGAAACCTGCCCAGTGTCACTGAAACTGACCGCATACAAATCATTGGTGAGATCCGTCCTGGAGCTGCACGATATGGGACCCTTACCAGCAAAACAACATCCACTCGCTGGAAAAGGTACAACGCCGCGCTGCTCGATTTATAACATCAAACTATAGAAGGGACAGCAGTGTGAAATGATGGACACCCTACAATTAACACCACTAAAGGATCGCAGGCGAGACCATCGGCTTGCCCTTTTTTATAAGATCGTGAAGGGGCTAGTGGCCATACCTGTAGATCACATATTGACTCCATCAAACACCCGTACCAGATCAAAAAATAGTGAAAATTACCGACATTTCCATTGTAATACAGACAGATTGAAACATTCAACAACAGAGTGGAATAACCTACCAGAAGACCTCGTCAAAATGCAAAAACTTAAAAGCTTCAAGACAGCACTACAAACTGAAACAATATAAACTATAAGCGCACTCCTCCAACCCTGGAATTTATACTCAAATTTGAGGTCTTCCAGTAATATACAGATACCATGTGCTTTTATTTACACGTGTTAGCTAAAAATAGATATAAACCGGAAGTGGTTGTGTTATTGGTTGAGCGTCAGACGACGAATGTTTCCAACAATGTTCACACAATCCCTTATCTTATAAGACTGCATTCGTTTAAAAACAATTGATAAATCGACAGTTCCTCAAACATAACGTAGAAAACATACATTCGTCTCATAGACATTGTTATTCAAAACAAAAGGAATCTCGAACAGGTGGAAAATCGGACATTCACATTAGCAAGCCATGTACTTGATCCTGACAACACGAAGTTCGCTGTCATCGGCGATAGGGACCTCCCTATTCGCAAATTACAGTCTCCCTTTTTGACATGGTCTTTTAAGTATAGAAATAACAATATTGCATACGAACCTCGACATTGAATATCCAGTTCGCGAAGCTGAGTAACGATTTTCTGTAAATCGTCCGGCAAATTTTCCATAGTGTCAAAATAGTTCTCCAGATATGTAGCGGAGCACAAAGCCTCCACCGCAGCTTGATTCAACATTGACATCCTCCTGTGTTCAGCTTCAAATCGTCAAAAGTTCGGTACCCTAGGTACGGTATTAGCACTTCTGGATGTTTGATTAGTTTACATGTTTTCCCTCCGAGTCTTGAAAGCAAGCCTCCTTGTGACATAGATGACCTAGATCAAGACGCTGGGGCCTTCCAAGGGAGGGTGTTGACAGTAGGCCTAAGTAAAAACAATGATTATCCGGGAAACGGTCTTGTAAAACTGATGAGTTGAAATTAACTATCATGTATAAGGTTTTTTCAAATACATTAAAACGCGTGTTTCCGGAACGATCGATTTTTACAGTCAAACTTTTACCCCTTTTCCTAACTAAGTGTGACCGGAAGTGAACTGTTAATAGAGGAAAGTCTCAAAAGGTGTTAAGTTGATTTTGGAAGACCTCGATACTGTTTATAAATAAAATGATGTGTAATACGCACATCTGCGTCACTGTACCCGGACACTTTTCTGACAAATATCAATGTCCTTTATACCTTCATTTTTCATAAAAAGATACTATCCCCTTTTCATTTCTATCACAATTTGATATTTTGGGCGCGTGGTTCTATTAATACAAGAGGCCAAATTGGGCCTGAATTGCTCACCGGGTTTTAATCTTATATACACTTGTAATCTTAAAAAGTGGACTAAAATACAGCTACAGGCAAAAATACCAGTGTTTGATTCAAAAGATTCTATTAAAAGATTTAAACATGTGACACATGTGACCTTGAAAGTCAAACAAGGACATTAAGTTGAACTGACTTTATAGCCTTTCATACCAGCATGCTTCTGGACAAATTATATTACCCTTGACCTTTGTATTATTCAGAAGTTGTTTAAAGATTTCAACATATTTGAACATTCATTTGAACACATTTTGTAGCCCTTCATCCCAGCATGTTACTGGCCACCCTAGACCTGTTGGTTATTCAGGAGAAGTGATTAAAATATTTTAACATATTTGACCCCTGTGACCTTGAAAATGGATGAAGGTCATTCATTTGAACAACGTGGTAGCCCTTCATCGCAGCATATGCTACTGGCCAACTATCATCATCCTTGGCCTTTTGGTTGCTGAGAAGAAGTTGTTAGAAGTAAAAAGTTGACGCCGGAGAGACGGACGGACGGAAGACGGACCATGGCATACGCTCACTTGCCCTTCTGGCAGGTGAACTAAAACGCGAAATACCATCAGGGTTATGTAGGCACTTGAACCGGCATAATTGTAACCTGAAAGGGACACTTCGGTATTTTGGGTAATATTTGGGTATAAAAGATCAATATTGATAAAGCAAATCCGAAAATTCAAGATGGTGGCCTTTGTATCTGATTGGATACCACATTGTCTCTGATTGGCTGAGACATTTCCCACAGTTCAAGAACGGCTACAACAAAAATTAACGGAGGTTAAACTCGGTACCTGATTAATGCATCTTTTCGGGTCCTGGCCAAGTATTCACAAGATGGCTTCTCTAGCCCGATAGGAGGATATAGCCATCTCTCAGTCTCTCAAGATCGATTAATTAATTATAGCAACGTTTCGAATGAGGTCACCACTGTATGTGTTACATTACTTTGGTGCGGATTGGAACGGCTGCACGATTGACATCAAACTTACTTGGAACAATTGTGTCATGTCCAAGTACGTGCCGCTGTAACTTTTCGTGTCGATACCAAAATTCAGAAAGATGAACGCCATATCCTCTAATTAGTTAACAACAGTAGCGAATAGCTCAAGTCTTGGTGAAAATAGCAAAGCGTTGTTATTTTTCATGCAGATCCGAAAATTCAAGATGACCGCGTTTGCCTCTGATCGGGTATCCTCTGCCTCCTGATTGGCTGATGCATTTTAAGTTTCTTCTTAAGAATTTTAATGTATTTTTTAGGATGTTCTTTAGACTCCCTGACCAAATGTGTTTACTTCTCGTACCGATTCTACGATTTAAACATCTAAGATTCATATATGGTCGCCAAGACGTATATTTATATATCAACTTCTTTGTAAGAACCGTGCAGTTGTGATTGTGAACACATTTGATGAAAATGTTACTTATAAGGTTCTGATGAATTGATCTTAATTTTCTAAACCAATACATGTATATGTCTAGGATGATCACCTTAATTAATTTGCCTAGCTTTGATTGACAAAGACATTTATTTCTCATGCCTCTTACCGGCTGTAGTGATTGACTCCAAACTTGGTACAAATGTTAAATACGAGGTTCCAACACCTTGCCTAGTTCTGATAATAATAATATACAACATTTGATATAGCGCCCTATCTAGCTAACATAAGCCACTCTAAAGCGCTTTACAGTACATAGATATACAATTTTATACAGTTAATACAATTAGCATATATATTAATCAATACAATATTGAGGAGGAATTTGCAGGAGCTGCCTTATCAGGCGCTAACTACTAGTCCTATGCCACCTGGCTAATATCTCCTTATGTGTGTATGCCTGTGTGAGTGCTGGAGATGTATTGTGCCACATTGCTATAATATCATATGACGTGTCGTCGTTTGCAGGTTGTACGGTTAAAACAACATCATAATTTAGCATTTGTATTAGTAGTTTTCGGTAAATGGCTTAGAAAATCAAAAAACTCCTTGATAAAACTTTTACTGAAGAGCAGAGGGTTTCAAAATAAGATAAATAAAATGGCTAAGTCATTGAGTGACACTACTAAGTCCACCAACTATAGGCCTAATCGTTAAATCATCTGGATTTTCAACATAAACACGCTCACTTTTCTGTTGTTCAATAGCTCAACCTATGATAACACTTTCGTGTGTTTTTGGCAAACCATAAAAATAACTTGTCTTATGAACAAAATAAGTTAAGTAGTCTTTCTCTTACTCCAAAGTGTCACGTTTGTATTTCATGACTAAATCCTTGATAAGCTTATGGGTAACGTCATCAGCGTTAGAATCAATAAGTGTATAAAAGTCATCGTTACGTAACATGTCAATATTTGTTTTCAAAATAAAAAAATGCTTTTCATTACAATGACAGCTTCCAGTTTATCTTTTAATAATAAACTTAAAGCAGTTCTTTGTTTAAAAGAGAAAGATACTTTTCAACCGTTTCTGACAACCAAAATCAAATTGAATTCTGTTCAAACTTGCTATAGTTTCTTCTAGTCGTCTTTCTTGACCTTTTGGAGGATTCCAACCAGACTTATTACGGACCAGTGCTAAGTTTGTTGAATTCCTATTATTTTCGTCATTGTAATCATCATCTTTATGAAACTTTTCACAAAGACGTGGTCTTCTACATAACTCCATCTGTCCCTTATGGCTTACAATCTTGGGTATTAGGTGTGGGACGAAATTCTACAACTTTACTCAATAACTTTTCATCACCAGTGAGTTTTCTTTTTGAAAGATCTATGACTTAAGCTAACTTACTTTGATCAGTACAGTTCTGTGCGTATTTTGTTAAACTGTTGTCCCCCCCCC